ATTATTTTTTTTAATTGTGACATTTTTAAATTATGACATTTTGTTAAATTGTGACATGTTTATTTTTTATTGTAAGCCACAAAAGTTAAACTGCAAAATATATTTGTATGTCTTAGCATAGACAAAACATAGCGCACTGTTATTAACTTTTAAGATCTGTATTTTTGTTACCTATGTTTTACAAATAATAAATGATTGATTGATTGATTGATTGATTGATACCATGAATATCGACAGCCCTATTTTACTCCCAGGCGCAAAATAAAATCGCACACATTTGTTCATGTTCATTTATGACGGCAACAAAACATCGCACCGTCTCTTTCACCCGCGCGCGACGCCGCCGCGTCCTTCGCTCGAGTTCGACGTTCGACCAGTTGCGCCGCGCATCCAGTTGTTAATACACGTGTGTCGTTATTTTTTGTGCTCCGGTGAATAAAATGGCGGACGAACCTACACCTGGGTCAAGCAAAGACAGTTCTGTTCAACAGAAAGTAGTACCAAGAAGTGTTCCGGAAAAGCTGCATATTATAAGACATGTCGCAAAACGACTAAAATTCAAGCCAAATAAGGTTTTAATATCTAAAACAAAATACTATGACTTAACCGGTTTACACCCAGATCATCTACAGACTATAAGTGAAACAGATTTAGAAGATATAGAAATAAAGCCAGTTGCATTAGATCGATCACAAGTTCACAGAACCTGGGTTAGCCATTTATCAAAAACTTTCAGATTACCTACTACTGAGCAACTGTTTTGGATGTTAAAGATGAAGGTTATACCTATTTATATGAATCTAAGTGATTTTAGGTCATGGTTATACAAGAATGATTTTATGTGGGAACGAGGTACCAATGGCGATTTGGTGGTTGTTGAAAAAACCGAAGTACGTTTCGAAAGATATTTGTACCTACAGAAGATGGCCCGATACAGAGAAGAAAATAAACAAATCTTTTTTATAGGTCACGGTGCATTTAATTCTGAAGGAAGACTTGTGACTTTAAAAGAAAGCAACAAAGCATCAAGGAATAACAATGAAATTTATCAACGAATTCTTTTTGCTGTGTCTGCGGCTGGTCCTGATTGTTTGCGGTATGTTGAAAGTTTCACCGAGAAAGTGTTCCTAGATTGGATAAACCAAGTATTTCTGATTGCTGTAGGAACACCGAGCGTTGTTGTATTAAGCTATGATAAACATCATTGCGAAGAGATTATAAAAGTACCAACTTTGGAGAGCTCGAAACGAGATTTGTGTAAATGGCTCGATTATTTCGATGTGCCTTACGATGCAGGGATGACCAAAGTGATGCTACATGATTTGATTGAAAAGTATACCGATTTAACAGAGAAGATTTATGCGGTAGACGCTGTACTCAAGGCGAATGGCCACACCGTATTGAGGATACCGAATTGTATAAGGAAATTGACTCCAGCAACGTTTTATCCTGATATGGTGGACTTGAATGTGAAGGTGAAGTTTCGTGATCAACCAAGTTTGTCTCCAGAGAGAATAAGAGAAACTATTGATGCTGTATTTGCGGCTTCTGCTGGACATAGGGCTTGGATACGAATTACAAGCGAGGAAAAATGTATTTTGGGAGTGGAATCGTCTGTCGATAAAATGATAAATAAAATTAAACATATTAGAATGAAAAGTTCCTTCTCTGTAGAATCAATCGAGGATAGTGATATTCCGTCGGATGACTCCGATTCGGAGTAGGTATTATTTTGTATTGTTTTATTTTTTTTGATTATTTGTTAAAATTACTTTATTGTCAATAAAAGCTTTTATTAATTATTGTGTTAAATTATTTGTACTTAAGTATGTTTGATATATGTACCTATAAACACAGCAAAACTATGTAACTAGTAAATTGTACTGTGAACCTGATTGAAAAAGAGTAACCTATAGAGTTTCTTGCTCGTTCATCTCCATAGGAATGAGCAAATAGCTTCACTTCTTATTATTTTTTTTTGTTGACGTTCATAACTGCCATTCTGGCCTAATTGAAATAAATGATTTTGACTTTGAATAATCTCTTAAGTTTCAATTAGTTAGTTTTGCATTGTTGGCTCAGTGACGACACAACCGGCTATGGAGCAATATATCGCAGTTGTGCGATCTGCAAATTGTTTTTCCGGGACTGAATGTCCGGACTTGGAAAATAATAAACTAGGACTATATATTAGTTTACTTATTTCTAAGTTACTACATAAATGCATCACTCACTACTTGTTATGCTATAGACATAGTTCATATGTAATAGGGGCAAACCCTTGTGCCATACACCAGGCAACATTCCATACTCTAAACTATGCTATAGATAAGACTATATGATTGAAAAACATTACCACTTAACTTTGCCACTGTACAATGTAACACCCACTTGTCACTATTTATGTTATGAGTCCCATGTAGGGGGTCAGCCTATTGCCATATATATACCTACCGGGCACAATTCCAGACTCCGTGCTACTACTGTACTGAGATATTTTTAAGAACCTAGTAATACTGTTGTCTTTAATACCGACCGAGTATTTAGTAGCTTTCTCTCGATACGATTTTTGGACAGATGCTAGAGAGAGCTACTCACTACTCAAATAAGTTACTAGCGTAGTGCGAACAAATCACGACTGCCGACTGGAAACTGTTGTACAGTAGTCCTATGAGGCGGTTAACAGGTTTTGGGCATTGTACAGTGGCATTAAGTGCCGTAATGTGCACTTCTACCTACCCCTTTGGGGATAAAAAGCGTGATGATATATATGTATGTATGTATAAGACTTTGCCTGTCTCTGTATTCCACATCCAACTGTTGCACCCTATGCTTGGCATTGTAGTCAGTAGGGGACAAGCTTACTGACATTTTTTATGTTATATTGGCAAACGAATCACCTGATGGTAAGCGATCAGCGCCGCGCACTTTGCTAACTAATCCGTTTCCGGCTTCCTCACGTAATTATTTGACAAGGAACTTGACTAGTTTCAAGCCATGCTGGTCATATTATCCCCCCCCCCCCTTTCTCCAATCCCTGAATCCCCAACAATCTTCAAATTCCTCTCTCTGGTGCGATATTCCTCTCTCCGTCTGCTCGTTTACCGGCTTATACCATAGAAAAGTCAAATTATTACGTGAGTAAGCCGAAAAACATATTAATTAATTTAGTGTGTTTCACGACACTTTTATTTTGCTTATACATATAAACAATTTTCTCTGTTCTGGGCGGGTCATTTTGATACCTAGCCATCTAAGAGAAAAATAATAACTTACTAGAACTAAATAATTAGTGGACTCTTCCTAAAACTTACCTGCCAAGGGTTACAATTATCTACTAACTTAGTTCGGTGGAAATTTCCTGGCCACTCCATATTTGATGAGGGTCTACCGATTCGGTCCTCCAGGACTACCCTTGACCTCTTTAACCTCTATGATTAAAGAGAAAAATAAATGGACAATGTGCCTCTTTAATAAGGAATGGGATCTGTAATGGTTTTTGGATTAAAGGTCTATTTTTGCGTAGTTTTTTTTCATGTTGAGCAAAGAGGGTTGTTGTCATAATAATAGACAATTGGAAAGGTAATCTTCTTTATTGTATTTGGAAAGTGTTTTTATTTTAGTATTTTGGCTACTTAACCATTCGAAGATTTAAATTAAGTATAAATAAAGTACTTACTAAGTGTAATATCTATAATGGGGCCCAATAGCGCTGATGATACGGAGCCGCGGAGGACTTAACGTGTTTCCGGGGTTCCTGCTTGAAGTGCAGAACTAGGAACCGGGTGGTTTTTAGTCAATAAGAGTCTGACACTCCCTCCCGCCTCACCCAAGCGGGAGTAGTCATTCGATGATTTTCCCGCCTTAAAAAAAGTGTAATACATATTTACTATTGTTTATAAGCTTTATGTAGGTAAACATAGGTATTGCTCATTAGTTGAATAATTATAAC